TGGAGGGGGAGGGGGTCGTACTTGTTTTGGTAGCACGAAATTACATGTAATGAGGTGAGAGCGCGCGGGAGAAAATTTGCCGTTCCCCTCCCGCTCGACGGTGTTTTTTGAGAGGAAAAGAAGTCGAGAAGAAGGGGTCGTATGAAATCTCTTATGAAGGAGGGGGGTCGTAAAAAAATTCCAAAAAGTCCCAACGGTAGGGTTGACCCTGCCTCCAGCGCTTCTTCTCACAATGAGTTGCCCAAAATAGGAGAGAATTATTATATTTCCTGTGCCTTTAACATCTTCAAAACATTCCAGTTCATAGAAATGGCAGATTCTTGGGATAAGTAGATAGATTTCCCCGAAATTCACAGAGAAACCATTGAAGCATACGGAAAGGATAGTGATCACAGTTTCCTATAAAGTGGCACTATGTTTATACTAGGTATAAAAACCTCCGACCCTTTCCACGAATCAATTTTTTATCAAGTAAGCAGTCTTATCTTATTACTAATTTAGTCGTTAGCTGAATAATCAACTCACTGCCTGGAATTCCATAGATAGATATTTTGTGTAATTGCTCTTCTGGCATCTTTAACCATTCAGGAATTTGCGACCAAACCTTTTCCTGCGCCTCTGGTCGATCATTACGATAAGTCTGAGAATTTTGTATTAATCATATCATAGCTACCTACTTCGAAGCAGCCAGATCCCCAGCAACCACTTGCACTTTCTATTTTCTCAGTTTCACTAGTTGTATCTCTGGTATCGACATGCAGCTTCAAAATTACAGAGTCAGTCAGTTTTTAACCTTTACCAAAATATTTTTACACCACTTCTTGTAGGAAATGTGCAAAAGTATGCGTCAGTCTAGGTATCCAAGAATCTTATATTCAATACCTCTATTAGATCAGCGTGACCATTCATTAGGTACTTTCTTTTGAGGTCTCGAGGAATAGATTTGGGTGGTACTCGATACTGATCGTTGGAAAGCGCAATCTTCAGCCATTCAGCAAACACCTTAATTGAAGCTGTAAGATGAAACTCGAAGTAATAGCACAGGAATATCGAACATGATCACCTCTTTGCATGTGGGTTTTTGAATAAAATCCAGCATAGGAATGGGATTCGCTTCTCCAACGAGTCGAAAGTTGTGCGGCATGAAAACTTCTTCTTCCAGCTGATTCATTTCAGTGTAGCCCTTCGCTGTGGTTACCGTGCTGAAAAAAATCTATCCTCTCGTTCGCACGATTAGTAATGGTTTGCTTCATAAGTGGGGAGTATATATAAATGCAGTTGGCGCGCCAGTAACAAAACAACAGTTACTTCTACTAGTTAGTTCAACAGTTACTGAATAGCGCACTTATTCTATAGTAGTTTGCGACGCCATATAAAACATTCTGAATTACTATATTTAATCTAATAATTAATAGTTATAATTGATAATTAGAAATAATTTTATACGTGATAATTATGACCTAAAACTCCGCGGCTTCCCATTTAAGGTTTTCCTCCGCTGATCACTCGTAAACAGTATTCTCTGCGATTACTATTAACAAATTGGAGTATTTTGTTGAAAAGTTGCTCGGTTCGAAAAACTTCCAAGCTCTTTTCAGATTGAGAGATTCGACCAATTTTCAAAAAAAAAATTATGGCTATTTGAAATTTTCAATATAGATATTCCTTAATAGGTGAGCAGCTCCAAGGTTTACACATGCGTTGCATGAGCAACACCACTTAATAGGCCGTCCATACGCAGAGAAGGGTTGTTCCTGGAGAGAGCGGCGGGGGGGATGGGAGGGGAGGGGAGGCAGGGTGGAGAGGGATCGCACCCCATACTCTTGTATACGTAATTCTCTCCGTGCTTGACCCTGATCACGTCACGTCTCGTCTATGTTGAACAGCCTTTCCAATACTCCAAGATTGGAATAACCAGTGCAGCAAACCACCACATGTGCAGGGTAACCTTTGCAGTTCACTTGACAGGTCAAACTGCATTCAAGTTCAACTACAACTGCAAATTGAATATGTGACGTATCTCGGAAAGGAATGACACCGAAAGCTTCACGCATAACTTTTGTACCTGGAAGTAAAACTCATGCAAACTGTGGCACAAAGCAGCACCCCTAGCAGAAGGCGTGCCAAATAATCTATACAGTGGATGGGATAGAATAGCACACGGGTCTCACAGATGTGCCGTTGTTCTGGCTCGAAAGTGTGCTACTATGGCGCTAGGGTTTTGCAATGTTTACGTATGGCGTCCTATCGTATGGACGATTTGCGTCGCGCACGTCCCATGAAACACAGCGTGGCTTACGACGTAAGGGTCATCAAATAAGTGCGGATTAGTTGGGCTGCGGAACAGGGGAAGTTCGTACAAGTCGTTTGGCTCCACCCCTTCACCACTTCGAGGGAATATACCTGTTTAGAGTTTCATCGGTTTCCTTCTTTTTCCTTAGTTTAACCCAACTAGACATCCATAATCCCGCTATTGAGCGCTGTGACCCCACAAATTTGACCTGGAGATGTTCTTTGCTGTATATACTGCCCATAAAGTCTCTGCTATATAGCACTCTTCATTAAAGTTACAATTTTCACGATATTCCGCAGCATATCTTGCTTGTCAGGCGGTTTCCCTCCTAGGTTGCCCTTGCTCCAGTACAGATCTATCTTCCTCTGTACTTTGATGCTTCTTATTCATGGTTCCTCCGCTACACAATCGAAGAACGATGTCCCACCATCAAGCACGAGAGGAGGGGGTAGTATACTGCTCAGGTCGGCTCAGCGTTGCGCATAACACTTACCTAGCTTGCCGATTCCACGAGGGTGGTCGGTATACCCGTGTTTCGGAGTTTCGGTAAGCTCCTATGACCCCTAGTGGCGAGTGGGCATCATAGCCGACTGATGCAGGTCTGTGTTGTTGTTCAAGTCTGGGTATGGCGTGTTCAGTATCTACAAGATCCTCTTCTCGTGTGATGGAATGGTTGATCGTCATACTTTGAACATATACCTTCCTTAACCTGAGACTTTTTAAAACTAGTGCAGAGATCCCCATTACATTCCACCAGTTCTTGAAGTACTGAGAACCGCTTGGCTTGCAAGCTCATACGTCTCTTCTTGTAAATCGCAGACAGCCTAGTGAACTCAACCTCAGGTCGCTGGTTTATCACTGGTTTTGTTACTTATATTTTTGACAGGTTTGTAGGAAATTTTAACTTCATGATATTTTAATATTATGGCGTGTTCAAGCACAAATAAATAAATAAATAAATAAAGTATAAACTGAAATCTACAATATTTATTGAGAACTGGCAGATATCCTAAGATATTGCCTTGGACTCACCCTGGTGGCGGCTGACGACGATAACTGAAAAAAATACTAAATAGAGTGGTTCAATGCCAATGACCTCATATGCAACCCTTAAAACAGACCTGTAAATCGAAACACCAATAAGGATCCATGCAAAAGCTATCAAAACGACCACTGTTCTGGGCTTCATAATAATTGAGAGTCCTTCACGAATCACTTAGTATTACAATGGCGCAGCCTGTAACAGATCACATGCGAGGAAGCCGCAAACTACCTGTAATTTATTTGTCTACCTATTTATTTATTTGATAAATGAGTTGGTTATGTCCACGATGAAGTTATCTTACAAAAAATGGTGGTAATCGTCGTCAAGGCGAATACTCGAATTCGAAAAGCATAACTATGAAATTATTCCTTCTGAACGTAACAGAATGAATTGAAAATTAAGGAATTAGACTGGATTCCTCGAGAAAGATGCATGTAGAAGGAAAAGGGCAATATGGCGCTCTCGTTCTGTGTTTGCACTTCTTTTGCAGTTCCTATCAGGACACGCATCTAGGAAGGGGATGTTGCGTGGTGTGGGTATAGAGGTCGAAGATGAGCAGATACCGAAGAGAAAGCGAATCCAGTAAGTTATCGGGGATGTCACTCCAAAACTTGCACTAAAAAGGTTACGTACTTAGGATAGAGCTCCGAATATTGCATATAAAGCCTTTTATGATCTTTTATAAAGTCCACTACTAACAGAGTGCCCCGACCGTAAGCGCTCAAGCAGCCCGACCTTTCCGCTGCCTATTTTTCCCACCACTTTCTTAGATCCGTAATCTAGATTTCCTCGGAGCGCATTCACGGATTTTGAATGGTAATAGCGTGATTTCGAATTACATTCAAGGACAGAGCACGCATTGCCAGTTGTAGAGCCGGCAGGTCCTCCCCGAACTTACAAGGGAGGTCTTTCAGGACATGGAGCGCTTTTTCGAAACGGTTTTCTGCATGTTGTGGGGCTCATACGAGGAACACAGAACCATAATCCATTTTTCCTGAACGCCTCCAGGAATGTCAAAACATTGGTGAAGAAATGGTCCCGAGTTCGATCCCCGGTGATGACTAATTTTTGCAATATATAGTTGCCCCCAGATTCCGCCAAAAGTGGCATCATCGTGTATAGTATGCGTTATTGTCGTGTTTTGTGGCATTTTGGAAGGCCCCAAGATAAATTGCAAAAATTTGTCATGACGGAGGATCGAACTTTGGACCATTTCTTCTCCCCTGTTTTGAGACTCCTAGGGGCGTTCAGGAAAAATGGACCATGGTTCTGTATTCCTCACATGAGAATCTACAAAACTAGGGAACCATTTGAAAAAACGCTCCATGTCCTGAAAAGACCCTCCTTGTGTTGGTGTGTTCTAGCTCACCTTGAACGGCAAACTCATCTCTAATGCCCTGCTCATCCTCATAAGCGGTGCAAACATGGAATGAGCAGAATCCTGCCATTCATGAATTCCTAACTGAGGTCCGGTCCTCCTCCCTCCGACGCATCTTTCTGGTTTAAATAAGTATGTACATGCTGAAATTCAGAATGCAGAATGTCACGGAAACAGGCTCCATCTATTTCTGTTGCGAAGTGGGAAGGGGAGGCGGTAAATAAGTAAAGCGTTTCTAGACGGTTTCACGCGTATTGTAGTACCTGCAAAAGCCAAAAACCGTAATTCGCTTTATCGGAGCAGCGGCTCTAACAATAAGAATATCAAAAACGAGGGAGAAATTTCCAATTTTTGACATTCAAGTGAACTTCTTCTCACAATTTTTATGTATTATAAACAGCGGCATGTAGTAGTTGGCATATCGAAAAAAGTTTCGACTAGCCCAAAGGATCAACGGTAGTCAAGCATGAAAGCATTGAAATCGGGGAAATTTTTTCGCGGACAATTCCCACAGTAGGAATCGAGCTCAACACTTTCACACCTTTTTCGATGCAACTCAGTAGGGAACCTCGCCTTAGGGGAGGAGAGAATTCGAATGCAATGCGTTTCAAACCCGCTGGTGTGTGTCTTTAGGACTAAGAGGGGAGAAACGCCACGGAGAACAAAAATTGCTTACATCTTCCTTTCCAAATACCCTCTTCACCTTGGAGGATCCAGTCCCAAATGCTGCAAGTGACTTACTCACTTGGAGTCCCTCCTGACGTCAAGAGCGCCGACCTCGTTGGGTTCCATATGGAAAGCTTAGTTTCCCGGAAAAACTATTTGAAATCATGCCCCACATCTTTAATGGAGCGTTCATAGTTGGCGATTAGGCGATTAGGCGATTAGTCTAAATGAAAAATATACGTATAGATTAGGCGAGTAGGCGAGTAGGCGAGTAGGCGAGTAGGCGATCAGGCGAGTAGGCGATTAGGCGGTGAAGACTACATACGTATCGACTTGTATGTTCCGCCCTGAGGGCGTTGTAGGCGAGTAGGCGAGTAGGCGAGTAGGCGAGTAGGCGAGATTAGGCGAGTAGGCGATTAGGCGATTAGGCGATTTGCACACGGCGCACTCTTTAGTCGTCAAAATTGAGGCGCACATGCATATTAGCTTCTCACCCATACACTAGACTACTAGTTGGTAAAAGCAGATCTTGTCAAAGTGTTGCATACAATCCAGATATCACCTAATCGCCTACTCGCCTAATCGCCTACTCGCCTACTCGCCTACTCGCCTAATCGCGTACGATCGCCAACTATGAACGCTCCATAACCTCCCATCCTCCTCCATGTGAGTACGTGTAATTCCGAATCTTTGGAATGATCCGAAATCAGCTATCACTATCGAGATTCAAAGGCGTTGAGAACCATTGGTGAGGTTCATTTTTGTATTAGCGTCCTACTCGAGTGTTATTCAATTGCAATGTCTGAATTGATACAACTAAAAGGTTGTTCGAACACCTCTACCTTCAAGTCGACTTGCAGAACCAGGTAATCCTTTGGAGTAACATTTTTGTTTAGATGGACAAAAAGTAGGAGATTGGACGATTATGAAGAAACTGGGTGAAGGAGGATTCGGAGCCGTCTATCTCTGCAAAAACAAAGAAGGCGAACAGAACGCATTGAAGGTGAGGCGCAAAATAATTGGGTGGACACCTTGGCTTCTGCGGGGACGCTCATGTCCTTGGGGTGGGACATAACAACAGAGCCCACGGTAGATGACCTTGGACTAAGCCCAGGAGAGGGGAGAAACGTCAGGGAAAACACATACATTGCTCACCCTTCCACCCTGCCAAAGGCTTAGCCTCAAGCACAGCAATTGGCTCACTAACTTGAATGCCCACCCTCCAACGACATGAGCGCCTCTGCGGGTAACGGATTAGGCTAACGCTTGCATGGACTGTGCACTAAGGGGGGAGGGGGAGAACATTCCACTGTGGATTCCACAAGTGCGCAGGCAGTTTTTATTTTTCCGAAGTCTTCTCCCTTTCTCAGCCTAGTAAGTCGTGCCCCACAACGTGAGTAATAAATCAAGGTAGTCCATCCAGTCAGTATAGAACCAAAGGGTATACTTTTTTATGGCAGGATCTTCGCTTAATAGTACAAAAAAAATCTCTCGCAATTCAGGTAGAAGCGGAAAATGATCCACTTGGTCTGCTTAAAATGGAAGTTTATGTATTGATGGAGTTAAAGAAGACGAAATTTCAAGGTGATCCACACGAAATCCTTGAAGAACTCCTCGGTTCTTACGCATCAGCCGCTCCATAAGCCTGCTCACTTTGAAATGAGTGTTTCCCTCAACACTTCATTTGACCGCTCATAGCTCATGGTTTGCGAGAATCGCAGTCTCAACTACGCAATCAACCGGTCTTACGGTATCCAAATTTTATGATGTTCCTATTGTGATAACGCCTCCACCTGCTTTATGAGGCAACACTCACAGTTTACGATCTTATATGCCATTAGGCACTCAAGTGAGGATTCAAAAAGAAAGGAATAGGCATCGATCAGGAATATAGGCGAGTGGGCAAGCTGGGAAGTAGGCGACAAGGCGATCAGGCTGCTGTTCGTGAAGGAGCAAAGCAGTCGCTACATATGCAGTCTTACTCGCCCAATCGCCTACTCGTCTTGTCGTCTAATAGATACTCGTGAATCGTATTCTTTTGCTCATGAACTAGTCGCTCAAACGCCTAATTGCTTAGTCAATATGCGATCGCGAAGTATGACATTGCATAAAAGAACCCCTTGATTACGCTCGATCACTTAAAGCAACAGTCCAGGCAGGGTTTCAACTACTTGGTCATTAGGCGGTCAAAACATGCCCCAGCCCAACTAAAGTTTATAGGAAATGTCTTTAAGTTCAAAACCTACCTCTAAAATGCGCTGGAAGGGGTCGAAGTCCTCTTGGAGGGGGCGGATCACCCATACCGAGGCGGATCGCCTCAACATACGCTGTGCAGAGTCCGTGCTTGACTAGCGGTCGTTGCGGGACCGCCGCGCTGTATGAGGTCGATTCCATAAGAACGCAATTGAAGCGCTTCAATTTCGATTGCTGGCAAATAGTTATGTATTTGCAAGCATGCAGCTATTTGCCAGCAGTTGCAATTGGAGCGCATGTACGGGCAGGTTCGGACAACTCGTCCAACACACGTCTCCCTAAACGGCAGGGGGAGTCCCTGTCTAAGCCCCTGCCCGACGTTTTTTTCTACTTTTTCTTTCTCCATTGACCAACTTCTCACCTGCAACGTCATTATAGGTGGTCCTTACCCGCGAATTCGTTCCTGGATTGTTGCTTTAAAGTATCGGGGTGGAGGTGAGAAAAGTAATGACAAATACTAACGAATACGTAAAATAGGTATCGAAGCAGTGCTAAACCTATCGCGGTGCTTTGGCCTCGGACAACAACTCGTCCCTTTTTCTTCCTCTTTGTGTAAAAACACATATCATGCACGCATCGAGGCTATAGAAACTGTGGTGGTGGAAAAGTAGAAGTGAGCAGTGGTGATATTGCAGAGTACGTTAAGGCAGTCCGGTGACTATCGGTTAGATAATGGCTAGTCCTCTGGTGGAAATTTTGAATCATTACGCGCTATATCTGCGAGGATGATCGAAAACTGGCCTAACGCATGTAAATAACAACTTGCATTGCTAATTTGTGCAGAAGCGGCGGTTAGAGATGACCTGTTGAAAGAGCAGTCTCGTTGGCTAAAGCAGCAAGAGCTCAGAGAACAAATGCAAAGCTCGCCATCTCATGAAGACGAAGATGACCTTCAATGAATTCTTTCAGCTCGTCACTTTCTCGGTTTAAAGGATCGTGGACACGTTCCTGGAAAATTTAACTATGTAGTCATGACATTGGTCGGCAAAAGCTTACAAGTACGTCATTCATGCCCTTTCTACACATAGTCGAGATGTAGGTCAACAACATCAAGACCTTGGAATCATTCCAAAAACTATGCGAACTTCAATGGCACTGCGAATCTTGAAGGGTTTTTCATAAATATGAACTAAAGATACCTTTGGCAGGAACTTCGTAATGATGCGCCGATGAAGAAATTCTCAATGGGGACAGCGATCTCTGTTGGAAAGCAGTGTCTAGAAGCGCTGGAAGATCTGCACAACGTTGGCATTCTGCACCGAGACATCAAACCTGGCAACTACACAATTGGACGAAAGGAACTCAACGAACTCAGAAAGGTAAAGAATGAACACTCGAATCGGTTCGAACAAGCAGCAGCTAACATCAAACCTGGCAACTACACAATTGGACGAAAGGAACTCAACGAACTCAGAAAGGTAAAGAATGAACACTCGAATCGGTTCGAACAAGCAGCACAACATTAGCAGACTTCACCTTATCAGGATCGTATAACTTCGTATAATAGCCGGTTATTATTCGGTTGGTAGATTCCTTCTGCCACTCCTTGGGAGACGTGGACATTAGATTATCTAAGCAACTCTGCTTATCTTTTATGCATCGACTTCAATACGATCTAGACACTGTCATGGAAAAAGCGGTCGATCTTGCTTGAAAATGAGGGCTAGCATCAAGCTTCACTACCATATAATTTCAAAGTTAAAGTTAAATGGCAGTCAAAGTAAAGTAGTTGTTAAAGTAGCATTGGTCAAGTTAAAGTATCCTTTGCTGCCCCTTTGTACAGATGTACAAAAGGTGCTTCACTCTGCCAGATGTAGGCGAGACCCATAGTTTTCTGAAGCGATTGCCGGCTCTCGTGGACCAGGGTGAATATCGGTCGAGGAAATCCTCGACAGGGGGGTCGTACCTGTTGGGCTGGTCCATGGGGGGTCGTACTCTTGGGGTCAGTAACAGAAGTGGTATCATGGTGCAGATAGGTAATAGGGTATAGCGCAGCAGAAAATGAAAACATCCGAAAAAAACATGATATTAAATTTTCTTTGCAGGTTCAGTCGCTCCATTCCTCCACCTTCATGAGAAGGGCGTATTTGAAGGCAGTACAAAGAATGAAAGTGCATCCCCGCAAAGAAGACTGCCACATGTGCGCACGCGCTGCAAAGGCACCTCCTCCGCCTATCACTCGCTCCTTCTCCCTTAATACCTCGCTGAGAATGACGCTGTTGTTAGGGACCCTGTCGGAAAAACGACAACCGTGAAGAAAAAGCGCTGGGCAAATGAAGTTGTTTTTTAGGTTACAGGAATAGCACAACACACTATGTCTACTACAATACAGTTTCGTTCGAAGGTCCCCATCATATAACACCTTTCAATCGATTCTGCAACTGTGAGTGGAGGAGGGATGCATGGCTTATACCAATACCAAATCGGATGATGACGATTGCTCCTATTCTTATTGTTTGCGTTCAAAGATATTGTTCTAGACACATTCCGAGTGTTGCCAACGAGTCACACTTGCAATGGTGAATGAGGGAGCGGATTTCCAGGTGGCCGGATCCGACCTCGATAGATCCTCGACGCAATTATCTCTTCAACCAAAAAGCTGTAGAAGAAAACTAAACAGACCATCAGGAAGCGCAAACCTTCCGCTTTCCAAAACTATCTTCCCTTTTTCAGGATCTTACAATATAAGAGATATATTGCTCTTGAAGTGGCAAAAACTCGCGTGAAAATTTCGGCCTCCTCGACATTTACTCGACGAAATTTGAGAGACCCTATCTTTCTGCAAGGAAGGCTTCCAGAGCAATTTCGATGCTTGTTGGAAACGCGAAATCCAGCTCTATCTAACTCTACCTCAAGCTGCTTCAAAGGTTGTGAAATGGAGGAATGCAACCTTTTCATCGAGGGTGTAGATTCGGACGTTTTTTTTGAAATTTCGGCAAATCTGACCCAGTGACAATCGCGCCGCAGCTGCCGTTGAATCGGCCTTTGATACACTCGGCTGTTTTGATATACTCAAGCAAGAATCAAGATTGAATCGCAACCCCGTGTCTTCAGGATTTCTGTGCGTTTCTGAACGAACCTCGCCTTGAGGTCACACAAAGTTAATGCCTCTTTCCTCGAGTCGATATTTCAGTATGTACACAAAAGTATGCAGCGATGGAAGACGTGCATAGATGACAAGATGAAGCGTCCTTAGCATTATTTTGCAGAATTTTTTTTGATTTGTTTTGCAGGATTTATTTTAATTGAATTAATTTGCTCTGTTAGAGGGGGTCGTGCCAGGATCTCGATTTCGGGGGGGGGGGTCGTACCTCTGCGACCACGTACTCGACACGATTTTCACCCTGGGCTCTGGTTGTGGATTAGCGTATTTAGCGTATTGGGTGTTTCTGAGCAAGCTTCTCTTCGGTTTCCCCTCGCATTAAAGCAACAGTCCAAGCAGGGTTTCAACCATTCGATCCTAAGGGTGGAAACATGCACTAGCCCTAGTCAAGTACATAGGAAATGTCACTGATTTGAAAACTTACCTTTGAAAGGCGTTGGAAGGGGGTCTAACGCCTTCGAAGTGGGCGGATCCACCGAGCCTCGGTACGGCCGCCCACTTGCAGCTGTAGAGAGCGCGTGCTTGGATGCGGGTCCTTGCGCGATTGCTTGTAACTATCCCGCGTTTCGAAATCATGCTGCGTCTTTTAATTGCTTTTACTTGTTTAAATTTCTTGCTGGCACGAGCCAGCAAGAAATGCAAGCCAATTCAGACAACTCGTCCGACCTACCCCTCCCCCCATCCACCCACTGAGAAGGGGAAGGGGGAAGCCCTGTTTAAGAACTTCGCCGACGTTTTTCTTCGCTTTTTTCCTATTAGCGATCAACTCGCCATCTACAACTTTGTATCGACCTTTTTTACACCGCCGATTCGACCTGGAATTGTTGCTTTAAATCCAACGGCGCTCTTGGTTTAGTCAAAGTAGTTTGTTCGTCACCAGTCTATGATTGACAAGAACTTCAGTGCAAATGAAAAAGTAGATCCTCACCTATGATCATTCGGTTCGCCTTTTAGACTGTTGCAGTCCATATGGTACCACTAATATTGTCATAACCAACATTGCGCCAGTGCACATTCTAGCCGTCTAGACACGGGTCAAAATCGCCATTAGGTGGTCCCTCTCAGAGTGAGAAAGGAGTTGTTTTTCTTCACTCGAGAGCACCAACCTGTAAGGAGTAAGATTCGTCCCTTGGCTGCACGTTGGCAACAATTCACTGATAATCATGATGACGGTGCAAATAGTTAGGAAAGACAATGCTTGTGCTGAAAGTGGAGTAGGCTCAAAAAGAAATTCGATAGGCGTGATCGTTTGGGACAATCTGATACGT